ATATACAAACAAATACTATACAGACCTTTCATATATACAATAATACAAACAGATATACATACAAATACAATACAGACCTTTCATATATACAATAATACAAACAGCTATACATACAAATACAATACAAACCTTTCATATATACAATAATACAAAGAGTTATACATACAAATACAATACAAACCTTTCATATATACAATAATACAAACAGCTATACATACAAATACAATACAACCTTTCATATATGCAATAATTCAAACAGTTATACATACAAATACAATACAAACCTTTCATATATACAATAATACAAACAGTTATACGTACAAATACAATACAAACCTTTCATATATACAATAATACAAACAGATATACATACAAATACAATACAAACCTTTAAATATATACAATAATACAAACAGTTATACATACAAATATAATACAAACCTTTAAATATACAAGCTCTACATACAAATTATTATACTTTATCATTTCTCATTTCGTTCTGATTTCAGAATTTAGAAATTATCAATTGTTTAAATGGTGAACGTTATGTTTATATAGATATTGAATTATAGAGATATTGAATTATAGAGATATTGAATTATAGAGATATTAAATTATAGAGATATTGAATTATAGAGATATTGAATTATAGAGATATTGAATTATAGAGATATTGAATTATAGAGATATTGAATTATAGAGATATTGAATTATAGAGATATTAAATTATAGAGATATTGAATTATATAGATACTGAATTTAACAGTATATAGTATTGGTTGATGTGATTAGAAATTATACTAATATACTGTACATAATTAAACTGACAACATTAATTACTAAAAACAACAAACAACAACAATAAACAAAAATAAAAACAGAAATGTCTACTTTACCTCATAATACGACAATATTCCTCCCTCGCTGGTATACTTTCCCATTCGACCTCCTCCGGTTGCAGGTGCGAACACACCATGTTCGTTTGGGTTGGCGAGTGTAAAACTCATGCCGTAAGTTGGTATCCCAACAATTAGTTTATGTTTGGGTATTCCCACATTTAACCAATAATCTATACTCCATTGCTACAAATAAAGACCCCAAAGACATGCAGCAAGCTATTAGATATAAACATAGGATGTAAAACTCAGTTTTAAATACACACAGATAAGTTAAAACTAAACTATATAGTTACATCAAGACGCAGTCGCACAAGCTCTATGCAGACGCAAACGATAACAAAGTCTTAACAAAACATATGAATAAGCCTGTACAAGGTAAATATTCTCATAATGTGTGTAAGTAAAAACTGCAATAGCCTACATGAATATACCCTGATATAACTGAGCATACAATAATCTATATGTTAAAGTGATACTGTCTCTTAGAATCGACATATGATTTCTCAAACTCTTAGCCTTAGCCTCTTATTGGCTAAGTTTGAAAATCTAAATTTCATGTTCATTCTAAGAGGTAGTTTTCCTTCAATATCCACCCCAATCTCAACTATTTGTATCGCGTTTGAAAATAAAAAATTTTGTTTGTCTGTAATTTAAGAACAACTCCAGGGCGCTATCAAATTCTCGTGATCATCTGCGCAGGAGAATGACCCGACTGACAAGTATTTTTTAATTACAGACGAACCAAATACCGGATTGTCAATCTGAAATGTGATATAGATTATCACAGATAATCATTTAATGTGTTTTTTGT